CAACTTAATAATTCTGGAATCTATCTTATTTCTCAATTCGTTAGAGGCAGAGTTTTTCCCGATATGAGAATAAGAGAATTTTTTATTCCTTAAAAGCAGATTTTTTTCGTCAAAATGGGAGAGACAATCAATATCGACTTATGTGACCCTCTGTTTGTTACTTTGATTACGTTACAACGAAGTATTAAATTGAATTTCAATCAACTGAATTCAATTTAATTTAATTACTTCATTCAATAAGATATCTACATTTATTTTATATCACAAGCAAACACATTAAAGTCAGTAAAAAAATTTACTACCCTTACTCATTACCCTTGCTAATTGCTTTAACCCTTACCTATGTTAACCCTTTATTTCATTGACGTAAGAAATTTACCTACTGTTGGACTACAATATGGTGTTTACAATGCGTGGTGCAAGAGTTTCCCACTCTCCCACCTTATACAGTAATCAAAAGCTACTTAAATACTTCAACCCTGCTCAACCCATACCACCCCACAGACCTTAATTACTCATACGTACCGTGTCCCTTATTTTCCGCCCTTGAAAATATTTGCATATATTCCGATACTCGCACATTTTTCTACTTCATTAAGTTTTTCAATATAAATCAATTTTAAAAATATATAATTTTTAATTGGCCATAAAATGTTTGGTATTAAATTATTAAATATCATATTTAATTCATTAAAATATTTAATGTTAAAAATCGCATAAAAAATAAATTAAAATAATTATAAATAATTTCTAAGAGATATTTTTTTAATATTTAAATTGCATAAATTATTCGCTGTGATAATAAATTTCTAAAGCACAAATAAAATATGTGAATCTGATTTAATTAGTTTCGGAAAAACAGTTTTTTTAGCTTTAGTTTATAATTTTTGTGGATTTAATAATTTTTGCTTTGACTTTAATTAGTTTTATTTGTTTTGACTTGTAAACTGAATATTTTTTTTATATATATTTTTAAACTGTTTTAATATAAAATTTGCATTTGTTTAAAAAAGATAATTTAATCATGAAATAGGCGAATATGCAGGATTAACAAGGATTTAAGAATTTAATCTAAATAACAGAGACAAAAAACAAAAAAAAATAAAATTTATAAAATTCTGTAATAAATTTAACGTCAGTTATGATAACAGTGACTACTTTACTTAATAGAAACTATTGTTTTTACTTAATGAAAAGGTTTCGAATAGTAGTAAATTACAACAACACATTTTTTTATTATTTTAATTTATTGAATTTTTAGCTGTTCATACAGCAGCTTCGGTTATTGCCAACAATCCATGAATAGTGACCTTGGAATTATTTTTTGTATTTAATGATTCATATGTAATTTTTTAAGACTGCAAGTATCAAGGGTTGAACACTACCCTGCCAAATTAGAAGCTCAGAACCAGTGTTTATATAGTCAGTGCTAGTTTGTATATACTATTCTAGTAGATAAGTATATTGCAATGTTGATACCTTTATACCTAATCTTATATTATTGAATAATATTCTTTAATAACATGTAACCTTCGGAATATGTTACAGCTAGTTGATTACATTACATATATCTAGTTAAAATATTTAAGTCGTCGGGTTATTGTTTCGCAAATGAAGAGGAAACTGTATCATTAGATGGAAGAGTCAATATCTTTAAGTCGCTTTCATTGTCGAACTGACAGATTTGTCATTCTTTAAATTCATGGACATAGCCCAGTTTATAGACTAGGCAGGCTGGTTTCTTCTTGTGTGTATGGTGGTATATTACCTTCTGAAAAGGATGCTATTCGTATTCCAGATGCTTCGGTCTTTTGTCGTTAGGGTAGTCGTTCTTGACAAATATGTAGATATTGACTTCTCTTTGGCACCCACTCCAACCTAATCGAACTATGCATAGTTGGCTGAAATATTAAATAAAAAGCAATTACAATATTTTTCTTTTATAAATACAATTCAACTTAAACAAAAACTAGCTATAATTTTTGTGACAATTAATGACCACAAGAGTTCCAAAATAAGCCACATTGCTTCTCTATCATATAGGGTTGTCATCATATGTTGTCTCAACTTCATTTTTAGTTCAAGGTGATATTTATACCAGATGTTGGTACTACGAGTATGTGAACTATATGTAAACATATAAATGCCTTTCCTAACCATAAAGTAATTAATTTAAATTAAATTTATTTTACTTAAAAATTTACAATATTTTCCATAGAAACAGTGTAATCATTCATTATTTCTCGACTAAAAATATTAAAAATTTTCTATAAATTTTATTCATTTATTTATTTTTTTATCATTTGTAAGCTTTCCCGTTTCCTTTTACAAAACTAAATATTTATTTTTTAAAATTCTTGTTTTATTGTTTATAATAAAGTGCAAAAATAAAGTAAAAGTTAAAAATAGTTATAATTAAAACAAAATTTCCTGCCATAATTTCAGTAAATATTCGAATAGTGAAAGAAAAATTTTTATAAACATTTTTACAAATTTTTATATGCGATTCTTTATTTACATTGGCAAATTTTCAGACCAATAAAATCGAATACTTTTGATATATATATCTATGAATATATATGGACAGAGCATAGCATGTCTATATATTTCTCCCATAAAAAATTGATTTATAATTTTGAATTGAATTTAAACTTATGACGAATGCAAAATGGCATTTCAAATGATAAAATCGGCATTGGATGGCAATGGACATAATCATCACAACAGTGGCGTCATTCTAACAAAATGTAAGTAATTAAATTTCTATTTAGAAACTAAATGGACAATTATATACTAAATATACATATGTATTCATAACATACATACTACTATCATTTAATAATATTAAAAGATAGAAGAAAATTTACTAACAAACATAATGAAGCTGAAATCATTTTAAAATTTAGTTGGGTTTGGTTATAGGACAGCATGGAACTAGGTTTATGGTACCATGTGGTATCTCCTGCAATGCGTGTCTTCCAGCTCACGAAGAAAGGACATAAGGTCACCTGATGTGTCTATGTCCAGATTTCGCCAACATTCTTCAACATTCTCGCTAATATCTTTACCATTAACATTGGCGAGATTCTTGCCTTTATAAATGCCTTTGGCTGGTTCTAGCTCGAACTTCTCTCTACTACCCACCATTACGAGGATTTGTGTATTCAAGACGGCTTTTTTAACTAATTGAGGAGAACTCTTTCCTCGCTCCACCACAACAAACTAACTAACTAACTAGGTTAGTTATATTATATGATTGTCGATTATAGTAAGCGTTGCTCCTTTATTTATGTATTGAGATACCATTAAGAGCCTAGCTAATACTTAATAATGAAAAAATAACCCACAGCATAAGGAGAGTTCATTTAAAATGAGCTATACTTCCTAAATAAGTTGGTATAATGGTAAAGATATTTGGCGAATATGTGTTGAGATAATAACAGATGAGTTTAATAGAATTTATCAATAGAAGTACATCGCAAGTTTCTAAGATAATATCCGTCCTAACGTGACGCTAAACTATAGGGCAGTATGAAGCAAGGTTGGGCTTGACTGATTAAATCTCTTGTAGTATATATCTATAAACGCTCAAGTAGGAGACTTAGAAACACCTGTTGTGTATATGTCAAGGGTTATTCAAGAGCAGGTTTAAGTTTATTAGCGCCCCATTCTTTAAATTCGTTCAGCGAAGCATCCAACATTGATAATAACTCATATGGCTAACTTTCTGATCACAATTACGAATCAAAACGATTTTCTTAGGTAATTTAAGAGAATTTGATCTTTTCCCATTAAATCTACATACTTAAGATTTGGACACGTTATTTTAGATCACACAAATCAATAAAATTTAATTTAAAAATTATTTATCAATAAAAAAAGTTTCAAAATAATTGTATTGTATTATCTATTTAGAACAGAATATAAATTATTATATATTATTTATTTAATAATAGTCAAAACTCAACACATATATATGTGTTACATATAGTGTATATATAGTGTATATTTAGTGCATATATAGTGTAAATATAGTGTATATATAGTGTAAACATAGTGTATATACAGTGTATATATAAAGTGTATTAATGATGTATTTATAATGTATATATAGTACATATAAAAGTGCATTTAGTGGCCGACGACTATAAGCTACCATATGTCTCTGTATACCTCCCTCTTTGCTATCGGTTCTAAAAACTTCTTTTAACTGATAAGGTAGTATATTATAAAAATGCATTTTTTAAAGAGTAAATGATATAGATTATAATACATACATATCTACATACCAGTCTATATTACTTTGAGTAAATATACATTTTATTTAAAACTTTTTCACTTCTCTATAATAAACAATATTTGGTTCTGTGGTATTTTCATTTTTTTGGTCTCCAGTACGTATGAGTCATAGAGTAGTATCAACCTGTTTGCATTGAAATATTTCTATTTCTGAGTCATTATAAGAGTATTTTTATATATTTTTTTTTCTAAAAAAGATTTAATTGCTTATTAAATATAAACATTTGTATATTTTTTGAGGTTTTGTTTGTAGCTTTATATGAATTTTGATTTGTTGAGCAATTATATTTTATTTAGCCATTTGTTCATACATTTAACATATATAATTTATTGCCTGACAACTTTATTAAATAAAAGTTAAATAATTTTGTTATTCTCGAACAGGTTTTAAATTATTTAATGACCAAATTCATTAAATGCTATAAAAAACAAATACTGTTTTTGATATAATATAAAAAATCATAATATTGTTAATGTGTATAATAATAAATAATATATAATAATAATAATGTCAAAAGTCATTGTTTTGAAAAAATTCATCCAAAGCAGTTAAACAAAAAAAACTAAATATATTTAGTAAAATAGTTGTATCACAAAATAACTTAATTTAATTTACTTAAACATGTTATTATAAGTTCAGGTTGATAGGTCGAAATTATAACAGTTTTTGGCTTCTAACGGTAGAAAGCATTCCGACTATGGTAGATTTTTTGTGTTAGCAATGGACTTTAACAGTAGACACTTAACTCTCTATTTCATTAACAAATGAAGACTGTTATAAAATGTCTCTTGTTGAAAAATTCTTCATATCTTACAGAGGTAAGAACTCCCGAATTAGCGTTCCTTTTATATATTTTTTTTAAATTCTTAATATCAGACAGGGGTAAGAACTACCGGATTAGCATTCCTTTTCTAGAACAAATTAAAGCCAGACAGTTCCAAAAAATGTAACTTGAGGTCATATTCGTTTCCAAGTCTTATCATTCGGCCAATTTCTGCCATTTCAGAAAGATTTTTTTTATTTTTGAAAATGGTAGATCAAGCCATACTGACCCACCAGATGACCTGTTAAAAATGGTCGTATAGATGAACTTTTGTTTGTTTGTAATCCACTTTACTATCAAAAACTTAGTTGTGAAACATTCATAAGGTTTGATCCACAAAATTGGATGGTTGATTCGATACTTGTGAGATAATTTAATCATAATGTTAGAGAGACTATTTTACCGATATTTTCTCAGTACGACATTTGCATCGAACTTTACTATAAATACTATATAATTATATAGTATTATATATTGTATAGTATTTATTATATAGTATTTTATATTATTTTTTTTTTATATTATATAGAATTATATATCTTACAATATTATAGAGTATTCTATATTTTGTATTATTATATATTATATGGTATTATATGTTATAAAATATTATAGTCACATTATAATTTATCTTAAATATGACTTATTTCTTAGTTCAACGTTTATATCCAATGTTACTATATAAGAATATAGTTTTTTAAAATAATTCTTAATTATAGTGAGGACTACTTTTATTTTTATTTAAAAGAAAAATATGAAAATATATAAAAATATATAATATATTTAACTCCATACATATTTCAATGATTATTATATTAAGCATGTAATTTATTATTGTAAAAGTTAATAAAACTTTTAAATTTTTTCTTATTTTTGTAACTTATATTATTTTGACCCTGACTTTGGGCAAATATGAATAATTACTTTTAAATATATTATCTACCTCAAAACCTTGGCAATGCACCTTTCTCTCAGTATAGTAATATTTAATAGTCAGTGTTTATATGTGTTCATATATATACTATATATATAATCTATTTTTTTTTAATAAATTATAATTTAAAAAATATAATCCACATTATTTTAATTTTAATATTTTCTATACAATTTTTTAACACTACAATATATTATTTTATTATAGCGTTAATAAAAAATAATTAATTGCAGATAAATGTTATTTCAGAAATTTTAAAAATATTTATTAATTCATAAATTTAATTTTGAATTCCGTACGTAGTATAGAATATTTAAATAAAAATATTATTTTTTAATAAAAATTCTTCAAAGTCAAAGGTTAAGAAAAACATTAACATCATAAATTAAAAGTTTTCATTCTTATATAAAATTATTTTTGTTTAATTTATTATTATTAATTTATTACTTTTAATACTTTTTAATTTTTATATTGCAAAATTTTAATAAAAATACAATGAACAAAGTGAGCAAAGATATAATTGCATACTATTTATCATTTCCTTCAAGTGTTTATTGAACCGATAGATAATTTTTGAAGGTGATTACTTCAATCGTTGATTCCATATAGTTTAAGTATAAAACTATTTTATACCAATTCTATGCTTTTAATTTTATGTTATTAGACTTATTTATGAAAATATTACTTCACGTGGACTAGTTTAAGACTACGCGGCTCTAATATCTCTAATGGCATTAGAGACAGTATTGCTGTCAACACTGTAAACTATGTGTTGAAAATGTCTACGGTCACTTATAGTTCCTTTAGGCTAACACTTATTAAATTAAAACTCCTTCACTCTACTCACATAAACAGTTAATGCTCAGCTTAACTCATATAAACCCACTATGTTTATTTTGTATGTTTATTTATTATGTATATTCATTATTACCTATTATGTATGTTTATTATAACCCATTGTATATTATAAAATTAACAAAACTCAAGGCATATGCAAATATGGCCAAAAACGCGATAACCAAAAAAGGAAAAAAATTAATAAATTAGCGAACAAAAGTACCGCGAAAGTTTAAAATTTCAGAAGAAACAGTTTCAATATAAAAATTTAAATGTAAAAATTTATATTTATTTAGTTTATTTTTATGTATAAGAGAATATTACTTTTATATTTTCCAATTAAGATTCCATCACCGTTTTTTAATTGAGTGCATTTATATAAGTAGTATATAATAATGCAATATAAATAAAAAAAATTTAAGTATCTCTAAGATGCTTAGCAAATATCTAAAATATAATTTTGTAATATTAATTATTACTTTTAAAAATCGTTTCTTAATGCTACTTTACGAGTATATACTTCCTTAGCTTATACATTGTGACCGAAAGGTTTTCGGAGGTTCTCATTTAAAATTCGCGCGCTGTATATTTTTCGATATTTTAGTTTATGTAGTTTGGCAGCATGTCCTTAATTACTATGCCAAAATGAGCCCGATCTGTCAGACAGTTCGTTTACGGCAGCTGTTGAAACCAGTTCACCTCAGTAGTGCGTTGCGAAAAAAACAATGGAAAAAAATATTGAACAAAGAGTTTGCATCAAATTTTGTTTTTCGAACGAAATTTCGTGTGCAGAATCGTTGCGAATGCTACAAAAGGCTTATGGGGAATCAGTTTTATCGAAAACTCAAGTTTA